TCATTTACCCAGAATGCTTTGCATGTAAATAAAATAGCCCCGTCCGTGTAATATTTTTTTTCTGGTTTCATTTAAAAAATTCGATCATCAGATATTGTCCAAGATTAACCTTCAGGGTGGATATAGCTTGCTAGCAGCCTCGCACCGTGGACCTGGTTGATGTCATCATTTACCCAGAATGCTTTGCATGTAAATAAAATAGCCCCGTCCGTGTAATATTTTTTTTAAACTTTTATTTTAAAAATGATAAAGATTGAACATCCTACAGTATTTTTACATTCTTTATTTTACATTAAAGTATATGTTTATCATATAAAGTCTAATGTTACAACTAATCGGGGATCCCTTTAAATTTGGGGCAAAGGAAGGACTCATTTGTCGGACACATCGGAGGAGTCTTCTAATCTGGACAACCTCCGGCGCGGCGCTGTGACATAAGCAGCCATCAAATTCGGCCTTCAGAGGACCCGGCCTCTGAATTTGGACACAGCCAGAATCTCAACACAAGCACCAATACCAACTGTCAAGCATGTGTTGGAGGTGTGATGATTTGGGCTTGTTTTGAAGCCATGGGACTTGGGCATGAAGTTCTCTGTAGACTAAAAGATTATAGAATCAAATATGGGATCAACTGTCTGACAGTTGAAGTCTGGACCAAACCAGGTCATGATGCTACAGGACAATGATACCAAACACAACAGCAAATCTACGACAGAATGGAAAATGAATACCATCAGATCATTTTTATTTTAGCCTGGTACATAAACACCAAGCATTAAAACGGTAAACTTCCCTATGAATGTAAGTCTTATACTTCAATATGCTAGTAATACATCATGCTCATCATCTCTTTTCTACATTTGTGTGTCTACAGTGTGCACCAAAGGTCAGGCAGTGAGCGGACAGTATCGTATGCTGGCAAAGAATGGTGGCTACGTCTGGGTGGAGACTCAAGGAACGGTCATCTACAACAGCCGCAACTCTCAGCCGCAGTGTATTGTGTGCATCAACTATGTTCTCAGGTGAGCCCTACTTGGGCAAACAGCTTATAGAAGCTTAATAGGTGTTGGTTTGTACACTCCCTCTAAATTCTCGTGTGTCCCCCCCGACTATGCAGCGACATTGAGGACAAGTCAGTGATTTTCTCCCTGGAGCAGATGGAGGCTCTGTTCAAGCCGCAACACATGAGCAGCTTCTTCTCTCCAGGAGGAGTGGGCATGAACGGAGAGCCAGGAGACTCCCTCTTCACATCATTGAAAGAAGAACCAGAGGATCTTGCTCAACTTGCTCCAACACCTGGAGACACAATAATTTCCTTGGACTTTGGTCAGTAATGCCCTGTGTAATGGCTGTAGTCTATAGACTTAAAACAAATGACAGGGATTAGCACTTATCCTGGACTTGTCCTCTTAGGTCCCCCTCAGTTCGAGGAGTCCCAGCAGGCAGCAGAGTTCACTCCATCTTCATCCATGCCCCCTCCGGGACCTCCATCTTGGCCCAGCGAGAGCCACAAGCACACTTCTGCTGCCTCTGCAGTTCCAGGGGACGTGGCTAACAGGGCTTCATTCACCATGCAGCGGAATCCTCCGTCGGGCAGCGCCACTCCAAGCCTCAGCAGCTGCTCCACGGTGAGGACAATGATTGTCTAATTGAAAAGATTAGTCAGCCACTGGTTGAATGGGTTTGTTTCGTAGTTTCCTTTTTCTCTGTTCAGTGAGCTCAGTAAAAGTGGGCAAAGTGTATGAGAATACCGGGGGTGGATATTTGGATGGAAAAGGCTGTTAGCAGTAAATGTTGCTTCCGTCATCTTCTATTCTTTGTGTCTTTTCTCCCACTTTTTGTATCTTGTCTGTGCTCCTCTTGCCGCCATCCATTCATCTAATTTCTTCTGTTCTTTGTCTGCAGCCCAGCAGTCCAGGTGATTACTACAGCTCAGTGGAGAGTGACCTGAAGTTGGAGCTCACTGAGAAGCTGTTTGCTCTGGACACAGAGGGGAACAGCAGCTCTGCAGGCACTGAGGTGGGAAACCAAAGTTACTAATAACAAAGTGTCTTATTTATTCAGACATCAGTCTGTAAAATGTAGTTTTACCATTTTCCAAAAAGTTAAATCTTAACTTGCCAGCTGTGAATCATTAGCTGGTTTCTGTGAAACTTCTTGAAGAAATTTTTGGTTTTGAATCTTACAGGTCAACTTGTGTTGAGTTACAGGTTTGTCAGTGCTTATACAAATGATTGTCTACATCAGTGAAAACCTTTGATTCTGATTCAAGGGATGTGAAAAAGTTTGGATTTTACTCTCTTGGTGTTTTTTTTAAGTCATTAGTCTGCTACAATCTGCTTTCACATGGAATACATGTAGGAGAGAACTCTCAGCTACTACCACACCAAATTGGATATTTCAAAAACTGTATACAGAGTTGTATCTTTGCAAAAGTTAAGTCAAGCAGCTAAAAATGCAAACTGCGGAACAAGCAAAGAAAATTGACTTTYTGGAAAACAGAGTAGCAGACCTAGAACAATACTCTCGAATAAACGATGTCTTGATATCAGGACTGGAAATAAGATCAAGCTACTCCCAAGCTGTGAGAGGAAGTAGGTCTGACACTAACTCTGAACATGAAGCAACAACTGAGGAGCAGGTCATTGCATTTCTGCAAAGTAAAGACATTGACGTGGAAAAAGAGAACATTGAAACTTGTCATACTCTACCAGTTAAAAACCAAAGAGGAAAGAAAGTACCATTACCAATAGTTATTCGGTTCACTAATAGAAAACATAAGATTGATCTGCTTAAACAAGGAAAAAATTTGAAAGGTACAAGTGTCTATATAAATGAACATCTCACAAAAAAGAATGCAGAAATTGCAAAAAAAGCCAGAACATTAAAGAAACAAAATAAAATTCASGCTACATGGACGATGAATTGTAAAGTTTACATTAAACCAAAGGATGCYCCTGAAAATGCCAGAGGTCTATGGATTAGATCCTTAGAGCAACTGGACGAGTAAATAGTGGATAAATAGAGGATGCACGACAAACAGTGAGATGATTTACATTATCATGGGTTAACTAAGTTCTTCAAATTTGATTTTCTATATTTAAATWCAATAAACAGCATAAATGTATGACTATGACATTTCAGAATCTAAGCTGTATGATGYAAACCTGATAGCTGCAGATCCTTTTCCAGCTATTGAGTGTGAATATTATAATGAAGAGCAATTTAATAATAGTAAAATGATAGATGCAAGCTTCTCTGTAATTCACCTAAATAGTAGAAGTATGAACTCAAATTTTTCAAAAATGACTGACTATTTAAAACGGTTGAATGGACATTTCAGTATAATAGCAGTTTCAGAGACTTGGTTGAATGATGAAAATATAAAAAATTTTCAAATTAATGGATATGAATTACATTGTGTGAATAGAAGTAGTAAAAGAGGTGGGGGTGTTGCTTTGTTTGTTGATATTGACATAAAAAGTAAAAAAA